ACTGTGATCTGTATTCTTCAGAGGAAATAAAAGGAAATACGAAGAAAGAACCAGTTCCCGCTGCTCACTAGTACTATTTATTGTCTTATGATGGGCTGCTAATTTCATGTCGTAAACAGTCACGCCCTGACAACCCCGGACTTTCCTATGTAGGGCTTAAAGATCAATTCTGATCTAAGAACTCCTCATGCATACTAATATACTAGTTGGGAAAAGAATTGTTGAGCTTATATCACGTTCTGTGCTGGTGTTGAATATTCAAGTGTATCACGAGGGGGCGCTTAAGTAGACATCTACTTCTTTCCTCGTAATGAGAGATTGATTCCTAATTTCTTCAGTATGAAGCAACACATAACCAGTCAGTAGAGTTATACTTAAAACGTAGACAAATTGTAAGAATTGCTGAGTTAATTATTTTATGCATGTATTTGGTTGAAGAATTGCAAGTGACAGCCATTCTAAGGATGTCTCACTTCTTTTACTGGCATATTTTCCCATGCATGATTAATTCTCAAGTCTTCAATGAAAGAGATTAAAAATTATGAACAACACCCTCGATCACTGATAAAATCGATCGTTAGTAAAAGCCTTTTGAATTTCGTTGAAAACGTACGCAAAACTATCGTTATTTTATAGATATTTTTTAATTCTTCATATTTTGAATATATATATAGAATTCTTTTCAAAGAGATACAAACGGTACTCCTAACAACTACAAAAACAAATAGTAAAAGTTGTACTGCTTGTATGCAGTAGCATGCGGTTGGTTTTGCATTCTTATTACTTAACTGTTGCTTTTCATCTTTGTCAAATAATTATCGTAATAAGTTATTCCGAAAAAGGTTATAGGTGAAAAACAAATCAGCTAAAGACGATAAAAACTGTTTGTTTGTTTTTGCAAGAAAATAAATTGGATTACTTCAGAAACACGGGCAAAGTGAATCAACGATAATCGCACTTCTAAAAGAAGCCAAGTAAAAGTTGTTTTTTAAGCAGTTACTATAAATATATCTTGTAATGACACTTAGTCGTTATGATATTCTATATTTCAGAACTGATTATGTAAATAAAAGCGTGTTAAATATATTAAACGTGCATATATTTTTTCTTTATGAAGTGTATACATTTATCATTCTTATATAGACATAAATGTACTGCCTGTGTTCTACCTTCAAATTTATCAATGTTGTTGTACAAATAGAAATGTGTACTAGATGGGTTTAGCCCACAAATTCGCCAATTATTTGATTATAACAAAAACTGTGAACTGTTTATTAAATCATAAATTTGTCAATGTTTTTGTACAAATAGAAATGTGTACTATGTGTGTGTGTGTGTGTTAAGACCACAAAATCTAAATCTCTTTACTTATAAATAAAAATGCACTCTTTGTATTAAATCTACAAATTTACCAGTTCTTTTTTTTCGTACAAATAGAAATGTAAATATAATTCATAATTTCTTTACTTATAAATAAAAATGTGGACCTTTTATCAAACGTAAATATTTACCAATATTTTTTGTGCAAACAAATATGTGTAATGATTGTGTTAACACCACGAATTCGTCATTAATTTACTTATAAATAAAAACGTGCTCTTTGTATTAAATCTACAAATTTATCGATGTTTTTGTACAAGCAAAATATGTAATGAATACGTTAAGCCCACGAATTCATCATTCTTTATTTATAAATAAAAGTGTGCTATCCTAACTTAATCTCCAAATTTATCAATGTTTTTGTAAAAACACAAATGTGTACTGTGTGTATGTGTGTGTGTGTTGAGTCAACAAAGTCGTCATTTCCTTGCACAAAAATATAATGCACTCTCTTTTTTGAACCTACAAATTTGTACTTTTTTTTATAAACAACATTATCTTGAGTATGTTAAACTACAAATTAGTAATTATGTGTTAACAAATATCGGTTGGATATATCAACGTCTGACAAATCACAATTATTTTATATAAAAAACGGAATTTGCTCGGTGGATTAAACTACAAAATTTATCATTCCTTCATATAAGCCCCCAGTGGCACAGCGGTATGTCTGCGGACTTACAACGCTAGAAACCGGGTTTCGATACCCGTGGTGGGCAGAGCATAGATAGCCCATTGTGTAGCTTTATGCTTAACTTCAAACAAACCTTTGTATAAATAAAAATATTCTGGAAGTATTAACCATACACATTTATCATTCTTATAAATGATAAGTTTTTAAACCTACTACATTATCGTGTTTTAATCTAACAAATGTATCAATCCTTTATACAAATGACGAAAGTCTGTTACTTTTCTATAACATATGCTCAGAGTGTTTCCACTGCAATTCTAGCTTTTATCTTTCAGAAAATACGTAAGTTATATCTCAATATTTGTCCTTATCACAAAATAACATGTACACGTATTATAAACGTTAATAAAAAATACTTAAGACGATAGTCGTTGTATTTATTTAAATACAGTATTTTACTGTACTTATAGTTTTTTAGAAACGCATTAACTAACAGCAACATAAGTAAGTCGTCATTATATGGCTAACGTTATCAGACTTTATGTTTAAAATCAGATGGTTCTCGGTAAAAAGGAGTAAGTTTGAGAGCTTGTAATGCTCAGATACATAGTTCGATTCCTTCGGTGTATACAGCGCAAATAGCTCATTGTGTAACTTTTCGTTTAACAGCCACAAAACAAACAAAAGCAGATGTGAAAATCATTCAGACAACTCAATACTTTTAAACTCTTTTGAAAAATAGAATAAAAGCTTACATAAATTATTACTGACAGTTCATGAACTGGATAAAACAGTATTAAACAAAAATAATGACACCGTTTTATGAGATATTTTGTACTGTGTTCCTCTGAATTTTCTTTGAAACAGAAAAGATATTTTATTATAAATGTGATATTCTATATACTGTGTACATAAGAACATATATGATATAAAATTAAAATATCGAACTCATGGTACGGTTTTTCTACAAGTCGCTTGTTTGGTTCCTATATTTGATTCTGTTGGAGAAATAAGTACCTTTTTATGCCGTTTTAGTCAGCTTTTAATTAAATTCGTGTGTTATGTACCTGTAGCAGCCTCTTTAGTATATATGTATAACGTTAAGTTTAAAACATACACAATTTGCATGCATAATGTGCATGGTCAAATATTTACTCACAGAAAATCGAAACCACGAAATAGTGACACATATTTGGTGTGTCAGCCAGATTAGGATATTTATTCAGTTCCAAATGATACACAAACATATATATATATATATATATGGTGGGTGAGCTGCGCTAAGAAATATGTACATTTTACTGAGTCACAAGTTAAGTGGTATGCTGAACTAAGAACACTCTACAGTTTCTATCGTGGCACTTATCATGAAGATCAACTATAACAAAAAAAATGTTCAGTTGACAGTGGCGTGTATGAAGTGGTTAAAATAGGCTAAGAAAAGTGTACACTTCATTCTCAATTTAAGAAAAAAAGAGACCAACATCATCACATCTCATTTCTATTTGCCTTAAAATAAAAGCTGAAAATAAAATAGTTAATACGATTCTATAAGATTCTATAAGTTACTATAGGATACAATCCGATTATTTAGTTGGTGCCTTTATAATAAAAAAGCAAAAAAAAAACACGTATTCAATCGATAGTGCTAACTGACTTTGCTATCGAAAATTGGCTGATGAGACAGATTCGACTTAGTTAATGACTTCGTCCATTGTTTATATAAAACAGATGTTCAACATCTAGTGAACCAAAAGAAGAACCATCAGATAAGAGTTAAGGATATTATTGTTAATACTGTAATTTCACAATAGTTAAGATTTTCATTCTAAGCATAATATACGAACTAAAAATAGGTGGTATTCTATTGTACACGTAGTAAACATTACAAGAAGCTCTAGTTGTTTCATAGTTTTCGGAAAACATTGCCAAGCAAATTGATAGGTAGCTTAACTATTAAGTTAAAAGTAGCTTTAAAATGATTTCATTATTGGCTGGTACATACGTTCTGATATAGCAGGGCAACATTGTTAATAAGGAGTACTGCGTGAATAAATGATGACTAAATTATTTTCATCGTGTTACTTGAGTATTTGTCACATTTTATAAGTGAACCAAAATACACCTAATAACTAGGTACTGAATCATTGATAAATGTACTATTTTATTATAAATAATTTCGTATGACATATATTTCTTTCTTTCACTTTGCAAAAGCCGTAGCTTCGAAATATTGCATAGCACTATATCCTATCTTAAGCTATTGTATTTTAATGACCTTTTGATTTTTTTACTTCATGTACATACAGAGAGAGGAGTCCTGCTCATAAGTTCATTCTTATTTCTATTGACTACAATTGTGTTTGTATTGTTAAGCACAAAGTTACATCAAGGGGTTATCTATGCGCCGCCCATTGAGGGTATCGAAAACCGATTTTGAGCGTTATAAGCCCTCACGCTTACCGCTGAGCCCCTGGGGACACAGTTGTGGCAAATCTAACTATAATACAAATATCAAGTTCCTCTTCTTCTTCTTTACATCTTCGTGGGATATTGATTCCAGTAATATAGTACAATAAATAAAGTTTAGAAAATAAGATTACTACGATAAACATAAAGAGATTTTGCATATCTTGAACTAACAAGTAAAGCGTATTTCCCTTCCTAATTTTTTTTACGTGGAAAGCGACATAGCTAAGTAAGTAACGAGTTAGTCACTTAACCCTGATCTTTCTCCCATAGTCAGATCTATATTTTTGTTCGATACATTAATTGATTAGATATGGTGATTATATTCGTTTGCAATGTATACATGAGATTAGCTTTTGTGTATGAAAGAATGTTGACTTCAGGGTTTCTCATTTGTAACATGCTTAGGAATATTTATAGTACATACTAAGTACAATCTTAAAACCTGAACAACAAATGAAAGTTGTGAACTTATAAAGTAAATTACACTCTGTTAGTTTTTTCCTGGTGATTACAGGTATCTAGGAATGTTGGGAGCGTCGGTGCCCTCCGATGGACCCAAGAATTACGACAGTCCAAGGTCTGACCAACCAGCTCACCCAGGTTCATCTATCTGTTCCAGCGTTCCTGGGCTGGTGACCAAACAGAAGGATGTATGCGAGGAACAACCTTCTTCCATGAACGCCGTCATCGTCGGAATTCGGCGTGGCATTTTGGAGTGTCAACAGCAGTTTCAAAACGAACGTTGGAATTGTACCCCTGAAGGAGATGAGAACGTTTTTGGATACACATTAAACAGAGGTAAGCTCGTAGAACTTTTTGAACAGTAAATAGTTTGTTTATTTGTTGTTGTTTTTTAGTACAATGGGCCAAATGCACTATACACACGGCGGGGAATCGAATTACGGATTTGTAGCGTAAACTTATCACTGATCTCCCCACTAGAGAATACAAACGACTTTTCAAAGAAACACGTGTTAAGAATTTACTGACTGTTGTTGGTTTTTCTCTCTCGTTGTGTGTTTGTTTGTTTTAGAAGCCTCTTTTGCTACCTACCCACCAGTGGCTCAGTGGCAAGTCTGCAGGGTTAAGACGCCAACATTCAGGTTTCGATACCCGTGATTGGCAGAACACAGAAAGCCCATTGTGTATCTCTGTGTTTAGTAACAACTAACCCAAACTCTTTTGTTTTGATCCTCATAATGGATTAGAATTTAATCAATCTGTTGTGACATCTTTAGAAAGAAACTTGGATTTTTTATTACTTAAATCTTAAATAGCGAAAAATTGTCGAAATATGAATAATTAATTCACAGACTTTAATCCAAGAATATTTTGTTAAATCAGTAACAATCTGAGATTTAGAAATTAAATATTATTTAATGTTTTTCAAAAAACAATAATATTTGTTTTTATTTAACTAAAAAAGGACTACTAAGCCTAAACATCTCCATTCTTATAGGTATGAAATACATTTGTTTCATAAATATAATCCCCTGATGGCTCAGCGTGGTAACTAAAAATTGGATTTCGATACTCCCAGTGGCCAAAGCACAGATAACTCATTGTGCATCTTTGTGCTTAACAACAAACAAACAGTTATAAATAAAAGTATATAACCACGCCTATATCATTGGCGTGTTTGTATACTTTTATTCATCAATAATGTCTATTAAATATTTAACTAGTTAATCTGTAAGAAAACCCCATTTATTGTGTCCATACGTATATTCTAATGTCTTTTTTTTTTATATACAAGCTTCAGAATATGTCCGTTTATTGATATAAAAATATAACTTGAAAGTTTAGCCCAGTGAAATGGTCTTGAATTAGTTTTCTTATTATTTTCATAAATGATCTTCTGGACAAGAAAAGTTTCCCTGAAATGATTAATTCCACTCTCTTCCTTTCTTTATCTCAAGTTGCATTATTGGCTCAAAGAAACCAAGCTTTCGAGGTTTAATACCTTCTAAAAGCTTTAAATCCTATAAAAGCTTTTGCAAATTAATATTTTATAGAAATCTTACATCTTAGTGGGTTTTTTTTTCTTAAAGATATTTCTATGGTCTTAAGTATTAACAGCAACTATTTTATTTTGCAACGTCATTTATTCATCCTAAGCATGCAGTTGGCAAGCATTTTAGGCACAGTCAAACTGTCTTTTACTAGCAGCGAAACTGTTAGTGGCTCCACTTGTTTTTATCTTCCATAACTGTTCTTACATAACCTTATACCACCCCTTGAAATTTCTTTGTACCATAAAAGATGTAATAAATGCGAGATGACATGGAAGGATCAAGTCGCTACCTAAAAGCAGCATATAACTTCTGATGGAAGGGTAAAAAATATTTTGTAAGTCAGCTGAACTCTTTTTATTAAAAATACATTGCCACTGTTTGATAGGCTAAGACACGTAGAAAGCATTAAAGAACACCTTTGACAAATTATTATCATGATAAGGAAAACATTGGCTATAATACAGCTGTTGGAATGGTTATAGTAAGGAAAAAAATAAATACAAGGTCAACTTTCACGATCGTGTTACTAAAGACACGGAACAAGTTAGTTGCCATGAAAATTACCATGAGAGGAAAAGCATCTAATGGACCATCATCGCACAACTGTCAGCCAGTTCACGCACCTGATGGTGGTAATTCGCATCAGAAAGAGAAATATTTACCATCTCAGGTAAATGTATTGATGTTGATCATCGTTAAAACAAAACTTTTTAGCCAAAGCATACAAAATAAAATGTTGACCAACGGTTTCATCGTGATGGTCGTCGCCATTATATTAAATATATATATACATATTTAAATTTAGATTTTATTCTACTAGCTTTATAGGTTTTATATTAGGAGTAAACTGATTTTTTATAAACTCGTTCAAAAAGTTTTTAATATTTGAAACTCGAAATAGGCCGATTTAAAATGTGATCGAGTACTTCAAGTCAGAGCAGTATATAACTGAATAGTTAACATATTTCTTATGTCACACAAAAGATATGATTGCCTTATTGGGTGCTGTTAGAATTCAAATATTCCGTAGCTGTGTGTTCATCATTTAGTGTAGTTGAAGACCCTCGTTTGTTAGCGGTTTAAGTAACGTTGACGAGTAGATGAAATATATTTCTGTGTATCTCTCCGACCATATTTTGAATGATTTATTGAGCAGTCTTTATCTAAGTCCTTGTGAGAGAACAAGTTTAACAGTATTACTAACCCTGAGGCACTCACGTCTGAAATAAGATCGTCCAACGATATCGTGTACATAGGTATAATTATGAACTCAGCCCTCTAATTCCACTCTCGATTAAATGACTGCAGGAAAAACGAAGTGTTTATTTTTCGGAAACCACAGTAATATATGATTCTGATCACATAGGAGTTTTCTAATGTCATTATGTATTTTGAGACCTATATACTTGATTCCTGAAGCTTAGAACCTAGAGAAAAAACCTGAATATAGCTTAATAAGTCAAGTATTGTGAAATACAATTATGTAAAAAGAGTATCACGTTAACATATGATAAATATTCTTTCTTATTTTTTTCTAATGAACAGAAAAGTTTTTGTTCGATAATCACTTGGCGGGGAATAATTAATGTCCTTAGATCAATAAGTACGAGTTTAAAGCAAACAAACATTTCATGACAAAACTATCTAACCAAATGGGTGTTGCTTTTGCAAGCCCTCTGGTGGTGAAAACAAGTTCAAAGCAGTGTAATGGTTATTCTCATCGAGTGATTATGGTAAACTGTCCAGATGCAGGGTGATGGTTAAGCCTAGTTTCATCCAAGGGACTGGTTTAACATATGTGCGTAGCTCTCTATATAAAGCTTTAAGTTATCACCAGAAAGGGCGATGATGCTATTTTTTTCGAGTTAGACTTATCTATTAACTTTTAATATTGCAGCCTCCATGTTTCTTAAGATAGTCCTAAAAGCTCAAATACCCAGTCTGTTTTGTCCAATAAGGATTAGGTTATCTAGTAGTGCTTGGTGTAGTGGAGAGGGTGATGTAGTTTACGGCTTTAGCGGCTAGGTCTGCGAACAAATGGTTACCGTATTACGCTCTTAAACTGAAAGATGTGACAACGTTTCGGTGTTTTAGTTTCTTAGCGAGCCAAAAGAATTACTTGCTTATCTTAAACATTGTACATTTATTGATGAATTTGAAATTGTCCAGAAAAATTTGAAAACAAAATGTCGCTATATTTTTCTCTACAAATTGATCATTCATAGAGAATTATGTTCTGGGCCACAGATACAGTCAGCAAAATGTTTTACAGTGGAAGACATGAAATAAATAGCATTGCTACAAATAGACTTATCTTTACGTTTAACATGGTGTTACTGACTTTAGTATAGTAAAAACAGTATAGGAAAAACAGTGGAAGACAGAAAGCAGTATTACTAAAAATTAATTTATATTTACTTGTAATAGAGTATCAGTGATTTCAGTATAGCATATGATATGTAATGATTAGAGAAAAAAACATTAACAAATAGAAAAATATTAAAATTAATAAGGACTTGATCTATATTTTTGTTTTCGGCCTAATCCATGCTATAGGCGCCCCCAGTGCCACAGCGGTATGTCTGCGGACTTACAACGTTAGAAACCTGGTTTCGATACCCGTGGTGGGCAGAAAACACATAGCCCATTGTGTACCTTTGTGCTTAAATTCTAACAAACAAACAAACCATGTTATAGGATCACTTAACTGGGTCTAACCCACGCAAATAAGAGCAGGACAAAATAGAAAATATATTATGCTTGAACATTTTTTTCCTCGCCAGAATATGGCGAATAAAAGATATCCGCACATAAATTATGTTTATTTTTGTTTTTGTAAATTAAGAAAACGCGATTGAAATGTGAAACTTAAAACAGCTTGCTAATTACTTTTTGTGTTTTATTCAGAAAAAAGTAAAAAATAACACTTGGCACGAATGGTGTGGGAATTATTCCAGTCACTGCTAGTCTAAAAAGTCTGACGTTTAAACTGTGAATTACTATAGAGGATATATTATCAAGAATATCACGTTTGTGCTGAATGTAAATTCTTATCAAAGTGAATTCATTTAAAACCAAAAACTTACGTCTGTTGAACCTAGTTTGACCGAGTTCGCTGTTAGAATGCCGGACTGTCAATCAGAGAGTCCAGCTGCCGTAAAATCGCACTTTCGGTCGTGGGTGTCTTACAAGAGTAACAGGCAAATCCCACTAATCGATTAGAATAGTCCAAGAATTGGCGGTAAGTGCTGTTAACTAGCAGCCTTCCCTCTTGTCTATCAGTTCAAAATTAGACAGCTAATGCAGACATCCCGTGTGTAGCTTTTCGTGAATATCCGAAGCAAACAAATTGGGATAATTCTACGTATTCTATCATGAACAAGATAAGTGGTTAAGTTTTATAGCAAAGATACGATGTTATATACAGAACATCTACACGTTATTTTCATGCTACAGTCACATACGTAAACATAGTTATATACATGCTTATCTATTTTTTTTATTGAAGATCAATTATTGTTCAGTTCAGAAACTTCTGTGTTGATTTCTCTAGAAGAGTTTTCAGCCAAAATAATTCTTCTTCTAGTTATTTCTAGTTAAAATAACTAATGAAAGATTAAACGACATGCTTAATAGCATCGTTTTGTAGTGTGGGTACTTGAGAAGGAAGTGAATTCTGTATTAAATCATAGAATAAATCCAGGACGCAAAAGCGGAGGAAGTTTTTAAGCAGCGTGCAAATAAGGGTTCTATGAAAATTAAATTATAGTGATTGAATAACAAAAAATTTATATCTATCAATGCAAATAATACAACCAAATTACCCCCCCTCCAGTGGCACAGCGGCATGTCTGCGGACTTACAACGCTAGAAATCGGGTTTCGATACACGTGGTGGGCAGAGCACAGATAGCCCATTGTGTAGCTTTGTGCTTAACTAC